AGCAAGGAGGCTGTCTTTTGTGTCCCTGGTTCAGATGATTGTATGGAGGAAGGTTCTAGAATTCCCTGGAGAAGTACCCGTCATCAGCCAGGATGATTCACAGCACCAAGGGACCTATATCACACCTACAAGACAATGGGTGGGTATAATGATGAGTTTGGGGTGTGTGCAGGCTACAGACAGCTCCCCTGTGGAGTGAGGCCTGACAGGTTTCTGAAGGACTGAGAAGTGAGGATGCTGACTCCCCCAACACTAACAATCACCAACCACCATGTGCCTGCTGCCCTGGGGGAGGGCCCTGCCCACAGCCTGAGGGAACACTGCGGAGCTGTCACAGGGACAAATGCCCATTCTCCAGAGAGAGACTCTCCACTGAACACTGCTCCACTCACTGGGCATTTGTGTGCCCAGCTGGGAGGCCATTATTCCTATCTAGTCCTCATAACGGTCACTTTGCATGTGGGAGTACAGGCTCGCAGGAGTCTTGGAACCTCAAACAGGTGATGTAACCTGTGAGAGGATGAGCTGAAATTCAAACCCAGATGAGACTCCCTGCTGCTTTCATCCGCTTCTGTGTGAGTAACCTTGAATTCAGTTGCCCCTGCCAACCATAAGAAGCAGGGTCACGCTTGTACCCTACAACAGTGCTTAGTTCAGTTCAGAGTCCCCAAGGGTCACATCTGGTATTTGCAAGTTGGGAGGCCCACACATGTATTTTGCATATGATTTGCATAATGGATGCATCTGGCTTGCATGTGTTCACATGGAGACCCCATCCGCACTGCACAATGCTGAAGCTGTTTCTAAGTCATCTTACTCCGTGAAAGTTCATCTGGGCTTTACAGAGTCCAGATGTCATGATTTCTGGACTCTCTCCCTGGTCCTCACCTCTGGGCTGTCCATCTACCCACTCAGGGTCCTGAACAAGTAACTTCTGTGTAACTGGAAAGCACCACTGCAAGCAGCTGCCCCATAGACACGTGTAAATTTGACAGTGCATGTGTAGTCCAAATGGGTTACAGTGGGCTTTGAGAGAGCCGAGCTGGACAAAGAATCTTTTAACAGAGGTCCAGGTATGTATGCAGAAAGAAGAGGGTGGGAAGGGACAGTGAGTGTGGGTGACGGTCTGGGTGGAGTCGAAAACACATACCTTAGTGTAGGTACTTCCATAGTTGGCCTAGGGGAGCATGGGCTGTGCCTCTCTGAGCAGCAGAGACTCATCTGCAGCAGTGAGGACTCATGCCAGAAAGCTGGCAGAATCTGAGCTCCTATTTCTGTCTCTTTAAGAAGAGCTACATTCTATAAACTGTGGCTTTCAATGATCTTAAGTGATGAGCTCTGAATAAACAGGGAGCCATATACCCCCGGGTGAGACAGAGGGAGGCTAAAAAGAATACAGAGACTCACTTCTGAGGATGGCATGGAGACAGAGAAGGGGTGGGTCCAAAAAAGCATCAGGGCCCCAGGCTCACACACCACCAGATAAGCTCCTCTCTCTGTATCTTCCTGGGATCTTCTCTTTTCTTTTGCCCCAGGAGGAGGTTCACAGAGGAAGCAAGGCAGCTCCAGTGTCCAGTAGAGGGTCTCACCCCTCTCTTTGCCCTCTCCACCACTGAAGCATTCCAAATGCAAGCGTCTGTCTAGGATGCTTGGGTTATGCTGACAGCATCTCTGGGTATGCTCGTTAGCCAGGGCTATCAAGGTAGAGAATGTGTGTGCCTCTGTGGGGTAGAGATGTATCTGTGAGACAGTGTAGCTAATTGGGAATTGTGTTTGGAGGTGCCTGTGCATGTCATATGAACAGAAACTTCTTCTGTGTGTGATGCCTCTGGAGTCTCCATCCAGGTGGAGAAGCTCCCGTTTGAGTCAGGGAAGACATAACTGTCTGCCTCCCTCTCCTGCCTCTGGCCTCCCTAGGTTTCCTGTTTGGCAGATGCAAAGTGGCCTCATCATCCACAGGGAGACCCCAGTCTCTGACTGTATTCAGCCAAGCCCCTGAGCATCTCCCTGTGCGGTGTCCTCCTCCTCCACTGGGATGGGGCCCAGGCACTGGCTCCCCAAACTGTTCCAATTAAAGAAGGAGCCTGTTTTTGATGTCAGCCACCTGGGAGGGGGAAGCAAGACCCATCTGTCCTTCTAGCCCCTGTTACAGGGACATTCTCAAGTTCAAACAGGGTCCAGCCTCCTTCCTGTGAGTTGTGGGCCCCACATCTGGGGCTGGGGAAGGGAGTGAGAGGAAGGGGTGGAGCCATTTGGAAAAAGATCACAGCTTCTGGGCTGGGGGAGCTTTCTCCCAGAGCCAGCTGAGTGGTGCTGCCAAGCAGTCAGCACCCAGCAGGGTGAGGAACTGGGCACTGTTCGTTTGCCCCTCACATGCGGGACTTTCTGAAAAGCAGGAAGTCGATGGCTTCAAGAGCATGAGCACCCCAAACTTGCAAAATGGCTCTTAACATCTCTCATAAATGTGAGGCATTGGGTGTATCTGGAAAATTGCCTGACCTGTTCAAGCTAGCTCAAATGGTGGGATATTAGAAGCAAATAGAGGAATTCAGGGCTTGTCACAGAATGGCTCTGGGGCCCTCTCTCCAGGCCACTCTCCTTACTTCCTCCTAACTGGCACAGCTGTGGCATTGCATGCCTTGGTGTGTCTTCTCACCTCCAAAGGCCCCTGTTGTGGCATGAATACAACCCCATCCTGCTAAAATTTAGTTCCATCGGATCCTCAGATTGTGACCTTATTTGGAAATAGGGTCTTCGAAGATATATTTACTTAAGCCGAGGCTGCCCAATGGCCGCTGTCCTTATAAGAACACAGAAACACAGAAGAGGGTCATGGGGAAGGCGAGGGAAGGGCTACAGCAGAGATGAAAGTGCTGCAGACACAGCCAGGGATTGCTCAGAGCCACCAGAGCCGGGAGAGGCAAAGAACGACTCCTCGCTAGAGGGACGACCCAGCTAATGCTTTGATTCTGGATAGTAAGCCTCCCGAAATATGGGACAATAAATCGCTGTCATTTCTAAACTATTTTTTGTCAGATTTATTATCTTATTTTAAGTATGTCTGTGTACCACAGTGTGTGCCTAGTACTGGAGGGGGCCAGAAGAGGGCATTGGTTATCCTGGAGCTGGAGTTTCAGATACTTATGAACAACCATACGAGGCCTGGGAGTCATCGCTGCTAACCACTAAGCATCCAGTCTCATAAAATGCTGTTATTTCTCACCACCTGTATTGGTAGTTATCTCTAGAAAGGAGATTGCAGTCACCTGTGTGGGGTCAGGAGCTAGGACAATGATCCTGGCTTAGGTCAGCTGCCTCCCCTGGGGGACCAGCTGGAAAGCATAGATGTGGGTTCAGAACTGCTCTTTCCAGCATCCCGGAGTTTGTCACCTTCCCTCAGATGTGCTTACGCACACCTCAAAGTTAACTTTTTACAAAATCATTTATTTTATGTGTGGTTATTTTGCCGGCATGCCCGGTGTCCACGGAGGTGAGAAGAGGATGTCAGGTCCTCTGGAACTGTCCTCTGCAGTGCTTTTACAAAGTTGCTGAACCATCTCTCCGGCCCCTCACAGTTACTTTACAAGGAAACTGGGTCAGGGAGACAGCCCAGTCAGTGGAATGCTTGCTCTCCTGTAAGCATGAAAACTTCAATTTGATCCTAAAAAACAGGTTTAAAAAGAGAAAGAACAAACAAGCAGGCATGGTGGCAATAACTTGTACATGCAGTGCTGGAGAGGGGGAATTGGGTTTCTGGGGCTCACGGACCAACCAGCCTAGACTACTTCAGACTCAGAACAGTGAAACAAGGTGAGTGGTGTCTGACAAATGGCACCTGAGGCTGCCCTTGGCTCATACTCATGGGGACACATATACATGCACAACCCCCCAACACACCAAAGGTTCAGATTCAGAGGGCTGTGGTCCTGTGGGAATGAGACAGCACCAGAAAGAAGTGGTCATTCTGAGTGGCAGAATCAGTATTCAAAAGGCATCTCTTGCAGGGAAGGCAGTTAACAAGATGCTGTCCAATAAGAATGACTGTTATAGACCAATTCTTAGATTACAAGAGCCATTTTCACGAATGAAATATGCAGGGAGCCTGACTTCAGGTGGTGTCTTATGAGACTGTCATAGCAATATTCTGACTAGAAGCTAATAGTGAAGCAGACGCCAGACTGTGGCCCACCTAATTTTGGGCTTTTATTGGAGACACACGGAACGTGGTAGATGGGGGAGTGTGAGTTTATTCTTGGCAGGGTTGGAGAGAAAATGGGTGCTTGGTGCAGCTCTGACCCAAGATAGACAGTGCTGACCCACCATCACTGAACCCAGACAGGCAGCCTGATCACCCTACCCGGGTTGTAAAAGTTGGTGGGAAGGAAAATCCGCAGTTATCAGATCTGGGAGGCACCCATAGACCGTGGACAGTCTGAACCTTATTGCAGGGAGGTGGCTGGGGAAAGCATTCCTGATGTGCCCCTAAATACGGTCACCTCTGGTCTAGAGCCTGGACTGCAGTATCCATGTGCAAGTAAGACTTTTAAGACGTGTGTGTGTGTGTGTGTGTGTGTGTGTGTGTGTGTGTGTGTGTGTGTGTGTGTGTGTGTGTGTGTGTGTGTGTGTGTGTGTGTGTGTGTGTGTGTGTGTGTGTGTGTGTGTGTGTGTGTGTGTGTCCAGCTAGATATTGAGCGGATCTGGGCGATTCCTAGCAGGGAGGCCTCAAGGTTTTGCTGCTTCTTGCCTAGTACCATAGGAGTACCCAGGGACTGTGCATGTTTAGGGACCTTCCTGAAATTCAGCGCCCTGCATCCCGCCTGCTCGTGTTTGCGGGGCGGGGGCGGGGGGGCGGCTCGGGCGTCAGCTCAGATCTGGGGCCGGGGGCTGGCGACGGGAAGGGGGCTGGCGGAGCTCGCGGCGCGGCCCCAAGTTTATGCTAATCCGTGCAGAGCCCGCCTCCCGCCTCCCCTGCGCGGCCCCAGCCGTGAGTAGCCCCGGCCACTCGGCGGGACGCAGCGGCCACGCAGCTCCAGGCGGCCGAACAAGCGCGCTCCGGGGGGGCGCGAGTGGAGGCGGGAGCCGGGCTGCGAGTGGAGGATATCCCGCGGAAGGCACCGCGCGGGGCCGAGTGGAGACGGAGTGATATGGGCCACCGTCTGCCCGTGTGGTTGTGCGCCGTCGCGGCGCTGCTCTCAGGGGCGCAGGCCAAGGGCACCCCGCTCCTCGCACGGCCAGCACAGCCTAGTACCTCCCGCTACAGCCTCTACACGACCGGATGGCGTCCGCGGCTGCGCCCGGGGCCGCACAAGTAAGCGCGGGGCCGGGCGGTGGCGGGAACCCGAGGGGTGCCCCCCGCGTGGCGCGCCGCCACTCCCACCTGCCAGGACGCGCGCGGAGGCGTCTAGACCCGGTACCCCAGCCACCGAAGGGGCGGTTTCCCCGGCGCGATCATTTGCGCGGGCTCGCCCCACGCTCCAGGAGGCTGCGGGGTTGGCGAAGAACAAGTCAGCCGAGGGGGCCTGGCGCGGCGGCTGGGATCCTGGCAGTGCCCGTGGAAACCTTTCCAGCGAAGTAACATTTTCCAGCTGCGCTGTGAGCAAACTCCAGGCGCAGCGGACCAGGTGGAGGGAGAGGAGGCAGGGCTGTCCGCGTCTGGAACACGCTGGGCTCCCCCATCCGACGCCTTCTGTCTCTACTCTGACTCGTGTGGTTGTACATAGGACCACGTTTACTGTAAGGTAGTCGCTCCTTCCCGCCTGCAGTCTGGCCGCAGGAACCCTGTGGGAGCCCCAAGGTGGTTGAACTGCAGAGCTGGTGAGGACTTGTGGGTCCCGGGCTTGTTCTTTAGAACAGACAGACTTCCACAGTGGTCGGTTTATACCCGAATTTGAATTCCAGTGGAATTTAAGATCTTGTGGGCGAGTATTCAGCCCACAGCCACATTATGGGAGCCCCGAAGCTAAGGAGGGAATGCAAGGAAATGGCAAAGCCGAGGTCAGAGAGGTTTTTCAGGGGGAGGAAAAAGGAAAGCCCGATTACAAAGCAAGTTGCGCTCTCTGAAGGACAACGTAAGGAGTTTAGAAACAGTGGAGGAGTTGGAGGGTGGGAGAAGAGGCAGAGTGGTTGAGGGAGAAGCTGGGAAGGCTTTCTCAGAGGGGTGGGTAGGCACCCGGATCTCCTGGTTCAGTCGAGCATTTGGCTCAGCAGCCACCATCAAGGACACTGATCAGGCATCAGCAGTAGAACTGGGCCCAGCCCAGAAGATCTGGACCACAGACATATGTCCAGGCTTCTATGGAACACGAATAGATAAAAAGAGATACGGGGTCTCCTGAGACCAACAGGTGGGAGCTCCGGCCAAAAATTCCAGAGGGCTCTTTCCCCTCCAGGTCCCTCTGTGCCTATGTGGTGCACAGGAATGTGACTTGCATCCTCCAGGAGGGAGCGGAGAACTATGTAAAGGCTGAGTACCGCCAGTGTGGGTGGGGACCCAACTGCCCCTCCACCATCAGGTGAGTAAATGCCAGGTACTGCTTTCAGCTGAGAACAGCCGTTTCTGCAAAGGGCTGCTGTACCCTAGACTTCAAAGAGCCTACCTGAGCCACAGGTGCCAGCTAGAGTGGGCCAGGTCCCTGCAAGAGGCCATGAAAGACCCCCAAATTTTGAACTTGCAGCAGGTATTTCCCCCATAGAGACAAGGACAGGCTTAATTTAGAGCCCAGAAACCTCAGGGGTCCACGAGGGAGGCTGGGCTAAGAAGATGTGACAGAGGCAGCTTCAAGGAAGGAGAAGATAGGTCGATACTACAGCGTTCCCCCCCCAGCAGACACCCAAGGAAGGCTCTGGTGACCAAAAGGTAGAAGTCAGAGACCCCAGCATACTCGGTCAGACAGGTCACACAGGCGATGCGATGTAATTGCCTTTGGAGATTTTAAATACGTGTGTGTGTGTGTGTGTGTGCGTGTGTGTGTGTGCGTGCGTGCGTGCGTGTGTGTGTGTGTGTGCGTGCGTGCGTGCGTGTGTGTGTGTGTGTGTGTGTGAGACCAGACCTCTTTGCTCCACTGTACCAGAGTGAACAGGCGCATGGCTGGTCAGGTGAAGGAGGGGGAGTCCCTGATGAACCCTGCCTGCACTTTTGGGCTTTCCCTTCCTATTCACATCAGCCTCTGAACAGAGCCCAGTTCCCTGAGTAAGCTGGAGAAGGATGGCAAGTGTGAAAAGAGTAGCCCAGGACAGCGAAAGGCGCTGCCCAAGCAGCCATGGTGCTGTGACTCTCCCAGATACCAGGAGCGTGAGGGTTGTTAGGATTCGGAGAGGCTCCGTTAAAGCCAGAATGGAATTTCACATGGCAGCAGGAGCTGATGGGGACCTAGTCGTCTTGGGAAGGTTGGGGCTAAATCCCTTCTAGCATCCCAGTGATGAGTGGGGCTTCTCTGTGTCCTTCACCCCCACAACTCAGGGCCTCTGCCATCTACTCCACCGCATGGTTTTGTCCTCCCACCCCAGGGGTGGAGACATTCAAAGGTTGTCTGGAATGCCAGCTAGGGGCAGGACTCTCGGCCCACAGGTACAAGATGCCACTCCCTTGCCTTGTCCTCTCTGACCCAGGTACCGCTCAGTGCTCAGACCCAGATACAAGATTGGCTACAAGACTGTGACAGATCTGGCCTGGCGTTGCTGTCCTGGTCTTACTGGAGCAGGCTGTCCTGAACACCTCACAGACCATGGAGCTACCCCACCACACCAAGAGCCGGAGCCTCAGACTCCCTTAGGGCAGCTGGGCCCAGGCCCCAGACCTTCCTCTTACAGCAGAGAGTCCCCAAGGCATGGTGAGTCTGTCCATGGATGTCCTCCGAGGGGAGTCAAGCTTCTTAGGTGGCAGAGTAGGGAGGGAACTGATGCAGGCTGCTAAGCTCTCATCGAGCTGGGAGTGGAGGTGGGGAGAGGTACAACTCATGTGGGGCAAGACTGTCAGGCCCAGTGTTCCCCACCCAGATCCCATCATGAAGGTGAGGGAGCTGTGTCTAGGGGTGAGGATGACGGCTGGAGGGCCAGGGTGCTCCTGGGGTCTTTCTTCTTCCTTAGGAAGAAAAGGCCAAGGGCTGTTTGGTGAGCGGCTACAACAGCTGGAGGGTGATGTTCGGCGCCTGTCACAAGCATATGGCACTCTGAGTGGTTTGGTGGCCAGCCAGGAGGATCCCAATAGGATTACTGGTGACCCCAGGGCTCCTGTTGCGCCTGTAGGCTTTGGGGTCATCCCTGAGGGGCTGGTGGACCCAGAAGACAGAGGCAGAGGGCCACTCATACCTCGTCTGGGTGAGATCCTGAGCAAGGTCACAGAGGTGAGTAACACGTTACAGACCAAGGTGCAGCTCCTAGATGAGGTGCACGGGCTGGCCCTCGGTCACGAGGCTCACCTGCAGCGGCTGCGGGAAGCCACACCATCGCCACTGACCTCCCTGGCGCTGCTGGAGGAGTATGTGGACCAGCGGCTACAACGACTCTGGGGGAGCTTGCTGGATGGCTTTGAGCAGAAGCTGCAAGGTATCCAAAGTGAGTGTGACCTGCGCGTGCAGGAGGTGCGGCAGCAGTGTGAGGAGGGCCAAGCAGCCAGCCAGCGCTTGCACCAGAGCCTTGATGGCCGGGAGCTGGCCCTGCGTCGGGAGCTCTCACAGCTGGGCACTCAGCTGCAGGGCCTGACTCTGACTGGTGGGGGCATCTGCTGCAGCCAACTGGCTTTGATCAGTGCCCGTGTGGACAGCCTTGAGAGGAACCTGCAGGCTGTCACTGAGGCCCAAGGTGGCCTCAGCACCCTGGCTGCAGATGAGCTTGCACGCCTCTCCGCTGCTATGCTTCAGGGAGGTGTGGACGGGCTCCTTGAGGGCCTAGAGACCATCAACGGGACGGAGAATGGAGCAAGAGGCTGCTGTCTGAGAATGGAGATGGGGGGCTGGGGTGTCGGTGGCTTCGGGTCTATGCTGGAAGAGCGAGTGCAGAACCTAGAGGAGCGCCTGGCAGCTCTGACAGGAGAGCCAAGCCACAACAGTGCCACACCAGACAGATCAGCACGGCCCCTTGTGCAGACAGAGCTAGCCATGCTGGAACAACGGCTGGTCAGCCTGGAGACCTCATGCACCCCACGTACCATCTCAGCCATCCTGGACAACCTTGTGGCTGAGGTGAAGGCCTGGCAGAGCCAGACTGAGGCCCTCCTACACCAGGTGGCCAGTCACACCGCTCTGCTCCAACAACTCAACGGCACAGTTGCCGAAGTTCAGGGGCAGCTGGCAGAAGGGACAGGCAGCTCGCTCCAGGGAGAGATCACTTTGCTGAAGGTCAACTTGAACTCAGTGAGCAAGTCACTCACAGGCCTCAGTGACTCTGTCAGCCAGTACTCTGATGCCTTCTTGGCCGCCAACACATCCCTGGATGAACGAGAGCGAAGGGTAGAAGCCGAAGTCCACGCCATCCAGGAACAGGTTAGTAGTCAAGGCTCACGGCTTCAGGCTGGCCACAAGCAGGTCCTCAACCTGCGGGGGGAGCTGGAAAAGCTCAAGGCTGGTGTGGCCAATGTGGCTGGAGGGCTGAGCCGCTGCCGGGACACAGCCCAGGAACTCCAGCACACAGTGGGCCACTTTGACCAACGGGTGGCTCAAGTGGAGGGGGCATATGAGAGGCTGGGCTTGTTGGCTGCCCACCTGAACAGTTTGCCTCCTGAGCAGCTGAGGTCCCGGGAGAGCCTGTGGGGTCACATAGACAAGCTGAACCACACGTTGGCCCAGCACACGCAGGACATTGCCCGACTCCGGGACGACCTGCTGGACTGCAGAGCCCAGCTGGCTGAGGTGAGGCCAGGACAAGCTAACTAGGATAGCTGGACAGAATCTAAAGCCCAGATCCCTCCAACCCTGGGGATATCAATCATTCCAGAGACCAACCCCACCCAGCAGCACCTTCCAGCCTTTCCTGGCCATCCAGCGGCCACTGGATGAATGGCCTTGGTCCAGCTCAGCATGACTGTCACAGCCATTAAAGCCACCTTCTGTGCTGTAGACTGGACAATTCAGGATAATAGTCAAGGCAGGTTACACAAGATGCTGTCTCAGAAGAGCCAAGACAAACACGCATGCCTGAAGAAAAAGGACTTCTGAGATGGCACACAGCAATGTCTGCACTTTCTCTTGCTGCAGACACACTGGAGTTAGCAACTGTGCAAAGCTTCCAGGCCAAGACTGACAAACCTGTCTGCTGTTTCCTTTACCGGCCAGGGACCAGTCACAGCCCTTGGAGTCATCTCCTGCCTTGTCCCTTGGGCTTCCATCCTTAGGTATGTAAGGAGATGATGCCCACTGGACCTGTCTGGCAGCTTCATATGTGCTATTTCTGAACAAAGACCAGAAGCCACCCAAGGTTTCCAACTCCCCACACATTCTTCAGGACAGAACAAAAAGCCCAGCAGCCCAGCCGGTTCTCTGTATTCCTTTTGATCTTGCCTCATAGTGAGGGTGTAGGCAGCTGTAGACTCCCAAAGAAAAGGGATCCAAGCACTGTTTGGAGACCCATCCCAATCTATCGTTTTTCTTTGAATTCACAAATACACCCACACGGTCCTCTCCAGGTAGAGGAAAATTTCTCCCTGCCTCTCAGGTCAGTACCTCTGGCCAAGAGCAGCCTTGGAGTCTTGAGGCAGACCCTGAGAAAGGGGCTGTGGCTGGGTGAATAGGAGTCCAAACCTTGCTTTTTAGCATCCTATCAACACCCAAGCCTTGCCAGGAGGTTCCCAAATTGGGGTGAAGTTGAGGCAGGAAGCTGTCAAGAAACAGCTAGAAAACACAAGTGTTTAGAGACTGACCATGTCTGCTGACCCCAGGCCTCAGTTTTCCCCTGGGCCTGCTGTGCTGTTTGTTTTCCCACACAGCCCTGTGTTCTGGCTTGTGGACATTCAAGGTTGGTCCCCCACTCTGATGTGGCTGGGAAGCAGGTTGGGATTAAATTTTTGAACTGATCCAAAGGTGTTTTCTTCACTAGGGCGGCGGGGGGGCGGTGTCCTGAGCTACTGCTGTCATTGTGTCCCACCGTGCCTTGGATGACACTAGACTGACCAGTTGAAGCCAGAGCAGGATGGTTAGCAAATACCATCTGCTGAAGCCAGGAAGGGGCCACAAGCAGCAGGGGCAGTGGTTTGGCAGGGACAGGTTTAGCAGGAACCACTATCCACGAGCCCTTCTGGGACCCCCAAGTCCCTCTTTCCTCTTGTAAGAGGGCCCCTGGACCATCCAGGCTTGGGGCTGAGAGTTCATAGTATTTAGAGAAGAGTGATACATGGATCAGGAGCTATGGGCAGATAGGGACACGGTAACATCTGGCTGTGGAAGATAGTCTGGGCTCCCAGGAATGGATGGGCTGTCAGTGTTCCAGATGAGCCTCAGCCAGACCCTGAGAAAGGGGTGATTGTTGGTTGAGAAGGGGTCTGCTGCTGACACCCTTCCCTGTCCATCGAGGTCTCATGAGGCCACATCCTCTCTTCTATCACAAGTTGAGACAAGGCCACAGAGTGGCAGAGACAGGCATACTTAGGGCAGAGGTTGTCAACCTTCCTAAGGCTGTGACCCTTTAATACAGTTCCTCATGTCATGGTGACCCCCAGCCAAAATACTGACGTTGCTCCTTCATAACTGTAATTTTGCTACCATTATGAATCATAATATAAATAATCTGATACACAGGATATCTGATATGTGACCCCTGTGAAAGGGTCATGATCCACAGGTTGAAAACACTAACCTAGGGGGATAGAGAATCCTGCAAGGGTCTAGTGACACATTTTAATTGTTGGAGGTCAGGGCTCTACTTAGGCCTGGGGCAGCTGCCGCACCCAGTAGGGAGGCAGATCCTAATCACAACCATAGTCTGTAGGTGATTCCCCACGTTCCTCACTTGATGGTGCCATCTGTGCCACAGACGACTGCATTGCTATTCCATTTCTTCAAGTAAATGGCCTTATAGTGGCAGATGCCCTGGTACTGAGTAATCACACCGAAGAGACAGCATTTGTGTTTCAAGAAGGGAGAATCTCTGACTGCCAACCAACTTGCTGCCCCTTTGTTGGACTGGCCCCATGGGACTCATCTTCTAATACTTGGTGTCCTTAGCACCCTGTCAGTCCTGGGTCAGCCCTGGGTAGGCTCATACTAGGGCATCAAAGTCCACATGTGGCAGTGGCTCCCGCCAATAGCAGAAGTTGCTGTATTCAGGGTTGGCCAGGTCTGTGCTGGGGCCACGCACCACGGGTGGGAAGAGAAGTTCAACCACCTCCCCGAGCCTCTGGTACCTGTGGGCAGAATGGGCTGCACTGAGTCTGAGTTGTCACAAGGCAGTGGCCTTCCCAGCTGGTGAGGCCCAGGATTCATCCACGGGAGGAGGTGAAATTGGGGTCCTGGGAGAGACTGGGCATGGGGGACATATGGCCTTACGTGGATTTGTGGTTCTTTATGAGCTCCTGAACAAGGTCTCCCCGGGGGTTGACTGTGAAGATTCGAGATTCAGGGAGGCCCACTTGCTGGTAGGCAAAAACATCCTACAATAGACAGAAAGGGTTAGGACAGTGTCTCAGACTGCTTAAAGCAGGGAGGAGGGGGACACTCACATTTGGCCTGTTCCCAAAGGCAGCATAGAAAGGTTGGCCTTGGGGCAGAAACAGCTGCTGGATGTCACTCAGGCAGGCAACCTTGAACACTTCTGGCTTTTTCTCGATCACCTCTCTGGAATGGCCATGGATAGGGAAGAGGGAAAAGGAAAGAGACACCAGAGGGTCAGAAGACATGTCTGACCCAGCCTGGTTGGATACCCATGAGCAAATGTGTCTAGGCTGGACGTACTCCCGCCTTTCCCTGCAAGACGTCAGTGTGTGAGGGTGATTACCTGTGGAGGGCAGAGAAGAGGCTGCTGGGAGACAGCAGGATGGGGCCCTTAGGAAGGCCACAGCCATGCTCGCTCACCCACTGCAAGTACCCCTTGGTGAGGTCAGCCATACCGATGGCCCGTGCTGAGCAGTACAGGAACTTGTACCCATTTCTGGGAGTGAGAGGGGGAGAAAGACAGAGACAATCTCTGTATTACCATTGCCCACTTGCTGTAAGCCCAGCTCAACTCTGGGGCTCTGGCTTTCAAATCCAGAGGGCTTTGCAGGAAGGGAACTTGGGAAGGTGACCTCAGCAGCTGTTCCAGCTAGAACACGGACTGTCTTTTACAGGCTTCCTGCTACCTTAAGGTCAGCAGGTAGACGGCTCACAAGAGAACTAAGGACCAGAAACGTTTTATGGATTTCCTAGGCTACTTCCATTATGGGCTCTTGTGGTATCCAAGACTGGTTTCCCAGGGAAGAAGTTATGGCGGCCTAAGATATCCTGACTCCCTCCCTCCAGATAGGAGCCCCGGCCCAGCCAGAGCTCAGCACTCACAGATGGATTTTGTGGTAGAGACTTGTGATGCCCTGATGTGTCCAGTCTTTCCCCAGCTGGGGCAGAATGTGGCCCAGAGCATCCGACCTGTAGCCAGAGAAGAGAGGTCATTTAGGCTACCCAAATGGCTCCCACGCAGCATGGGTGTGGGTATCTCAGCCACCTGGAAGAAGGCATTTCACAATGCTCCCACACACCCAGAACAAAGGGAGGTAATTCCCCAGGCACTCCCCCAGGCTCCTCATAGCAAGCTGGGCCTCACTTGGTGATGGTGCCATCTATGTCAGAGATGACCACCTTGTCATCCCAGTTCCACAGGTAGATGGTGGCTTTGCAACGGCAGGTGCCTTGGTACTGGGTAGTCACACTGAAGACCACATCGTTAGCTCCTTCATGCAGGTTCAGACACCGCTGGGGACAACAAAGAGGGAAGCTATGATCCCCTACTACCCTCTACTTTGACTATGGCTTTTGATCCCCATGAGTCTTTTTCTCTGCTTCCTCTCAGTTCAGGAACCCTTTCTGGGGGTCTCATGATAGTCACACATGATACATGTACACAGGCAGAAGGCATTTGTGCTGCCCAGGGACCTGCACAGTGCCAGGCACAGGAGTCCTGTCTTCCCTTGGACCCTCCATGTCACAAATATTAGACAGGCCATGTCTGTGACTCTCTGCCTGGGTTTCTAGGTCAGCCCCAAGGCAAGGGCTGGTCTTGACAGGAGATACTCTATTCCAAAGGATGGGACCCTGTGGGTTCATTATAGGAAGCCTCTTCCTGGGGCCAGGATACCTGAGTCAATATTCCCCAAAAGGGAGACCTAGCCCTAAATGTGATCCAGTGATAATGATGGTGGCTGCACTCTATCACAGCTAGGTGACCTCCATGTCCTTGCTGATCCAAGAGTAGACAAGTATCTAGGGTACCAGGCAAATGGCTGCTACCCTGTACCACACCAGTCAAACCCTGAATGCCTTCTTGACAGTGGAGCCACCAGCTACAGATCTCAGGGAATCACACAGTATCAGATGGAAGGGGTTGTCAAGATCTTAAGAGCTGTTGTCAGCAAGGGTGACTTCAATGAGGTGTCCAAGGGACACTACAGATAGTTATTTTAGGACATGAGAGGACTTTCCCCATCGAGCTTCTGAGAGGAATGAGCTGGCCCATGAAGAAGAGCCCCCATCGCTGTTCAAGCAGAGACCACCAGGGAAGCTGCCTGTGGAGGAGACTGTGGGCTGTTCCGAACCACATCTCATCATGGCCTTGTGCGACACACTTGGGTAGAATTAACACAGCCCAGCCCCTCCACACAGGGACACACAGACGGACACACACACTCACGATCTGATCAGAAGACAGTCGCAGGGACTTCTTGTAGGTAGGAATGTAGCCTGGAGTTGAGGCTGGCAGTGGGGGGACTTCAAGGATCACAGGGCTATCTGGGGCATCGTCATCACTACTTAGGACTTCTGTCTTCTCTCTGTGGGCATTACTGGCGTGTGAACCATCTCCCCCAGCCAATGGCCCCTCTTTTGCTTACTCTCAACCCAGGGCCTGTCCCTCTAGAGACTGCCTTCCCCTCAAGTGCCACCTATATGGGATGTCTACCCAGGGAGGAGAGAGCCAAGCTGGAAAGGAGACCCCAACATAGCTTTAGTAGGCCCCCCCTGGGATGTCCACCTTGGAGATATTTTCCTGAACACATGTGTGCTGGAACAGATCCTCAGTCCTGCTTGTTTGGCTTCAGCTGACCCACCCTTGGCCACTCTCTCCCCAAACTTCAATGGTTGGGTCACTACCAAGGCAAAGGAGAGAGAGAGAGAGGGAGGGAGGGAGGGAGGGAGGGAGACAGAGAGAGAGATAGAGTCAGAGACAGAGAGTCAGAGAGAGACAGACAGAGACACAGACATAGATAGACAGACAGAGGAGGGAGAGAGAGACAGAGGGAGAAACCAACCAAGTAAGCAAGTCCCCTGTGCACTGGGAAGAGAGACCCTTGACCCTCCCCTCAGTACAACAGCCCCTTACCCAGGCTAGGAGTCTGCATACCTGTTCAGCTTTGCCATTTCCTACCAGAGGGACCTTTGGCATGTCTAGGTCTCAGCTTTCCCATCTGGGAGATGGGAACATTTCTCAGGAAAATGAAATGCTTGGGAATTGACAACCACCATGTCTGTGGAAGAAGTTCTGGACCCTCCCCCCCCCCAACCAGGGTGGTTCTCACCAGGCTCCAGCCCTGAGCCCTGCCAACAGGTCCAACTTACCCCTGCTGTTGCCTAGCTGCGGTTTTCTCCCTCTGGGCACGGTGCTGTGGGAATAACTTCCATAAGCAAATTCTGCTTCCCACCCTGTGCTGGCCCTGGCCAATGATCACTGGCCACCCACCTACCTCCTCAGCTGGGAAGTCCCTGCGCCTCCAGGAAAACCACCATCGCCCACCCTTCCGGGGCATCTTCTCCTTCTCAAGCTTGTCCACAGTGCTCTGTGGGTAGACGATGGCCACAAGTTCTTTCTGTACCCCATAAACCTATCTTATGTTGTCACTGGGAACTCCATGAGCCCAGAATCTTAGCCCAACCTAGAGCACGGTACTGTCAACTTCTGGAGGCTGAAGGAAATGGACTCTGCAGAGGAGACCAAGAGCCTTTCCTGTGTTACCAGAACTCCTGGCTCTGGCTTAGCTTGCTGATCTCACGAGCCCCTGCCCTACTGGAGCCCTGAAGGGAACAGTGCAGTGGGAGAGTCTTAAGAGCTGGTATCCCAGGCATGTTGCCTCCCAGTGGCCCTGGGAACAGACTGTAGTCAGGATATTCTTTAATCCCAAAGACAGACACAAGCAACTTCCTGAAGTCAGCAATCCTAACCCATGAGCCTATCCCTGACTTGGTATCCTGATCAGTATCTGACTGGGACAGCATTACCTTGAGAAAACAAGCTGACTAGACGCATGCTAGATAACCCAGCAAAGTCCAGGGCAAGGCCTGCCTAGATGACATACCAGCGCTCTACAGATTCAAGTCACAAAACTCAAGTCAGAAGGACACGAGCTTGGATCAACCAGCCTGGGTGCCAACAGGCTTAGGTGGGGGGTCTCTCAAAGGCCTCAAATAGTGGGTCTGTCTGGATAAAATGAGGAGTGACTCCCTTCCCATAGGCTCCAGATGCTAACTCGGTTGCCATATGATAGAGCCAGATGTCACTAAAGGATGCTGTCAACATTTAACCTTTGAGGAAGCCTAACTAAGTGAAGAAAGGTGGATAAGGCCAGAGTGGGGCCCTGGGTGCCTCCTAGAGGACAGAGAGGGCAGGCAGAGCCACAGGTTGCCACTGTCCAAGAAGGAACTGACCTCAAAGAGAGGGCAGGTGGCCCCAGAAGGCAAGGTGGAGTTCTGAGGAGGAAGATAAACACTTTCCCCCATCTGAGTCAGTATACACTTTGTTCCCTGCCTGACCTGCTCAGCACTGTCACCCATTTATCTGGCTAGTGGCACTTATTCAGCAAACACCCCATAGTAAGTTGTCATGACACCAAGGCTGCTCATCCTCAGCACTCAGCTGAATTTGATGTTCAGCCAGACGAGTCTTGGATCAACTGTGTCTTCCTAGGGGTTGGGTTTGTTTGGCGCATAGCTCCTCAGGCTGGAAATGGCACATACTAGGTACTCAATAGATTAGGGCTGACCAAGGGAGCAATTGCCTCTCAGTCCAGCACAGAGGAGGGGCAGGGTGGAACCCTGTTTCCCAGGCCCCATCTTTCAGATCCCAAACTCTCCTGTTTATCTCAGTTTGGTCATATATTGCACTTTATCCTGCTGATTCCACCTGAGTTCCTCTGATGAAAAATCCACACCCAATAGGACCCAGTCATGGCTGACAACCCTGGGAATGATAGGCTGTGTCCACACAGTATGGGCAAGACTTTAAGGACCTCTGTTTCTTGCCTCTAGAGTGGATCCAGTAGCTAGTAGGCATAAGCCTCAAGGCCCATCTCTGTTCACCATCTGCTTTCTCACCAAGGCTATGACCTCAAGGCAATGGCCCTAGTGATAGTCTATGCATTACCTCGGGTAAGTTCTTCTGGAAGGCTTGCAGAGAAAGGATCATGGGGGCAGCTACAGCCCAGTTATAATGCCTAGAAAGACAGAATAAGTTGTTAGAACTACAGCAGCTGTGAGGGTATAGAGAGTAGGTATCTCGGACCATCAGCCATCCCCAACCTGCTACTCACTTCTCATTGATTTTCACCACGAGGTTTGGGTCATCCAGGAGCCCGGGATTTTTAATGAGGTCCTCATAGGATACCATGTGCTGGTTAAACTTCTCTGGGCACAGAGGCAGAGAGTGAGACTAACATTGTCATGTCCCACATGACCCTCCTCCATACTCTCCTATATACCTCCTGTTGGCCAGGTCTTTGACCTAGCGACATTTTCCCATCCCCATGGTTTTTACACCTGTTCCTACTTCAGGTTCTATAGGCTAGGTCAAGGCTTACTATCAAGCATTTGTGTCACAAAGATGTTGGTCCAGAGTGGGCACCACAGGGCAGATAATGGCAGGAAGGTCAGCCTCACATCTGTGCTGCCCCAGCTTCAAAAGTCTTCCCTGACGTCTCTGGGCTCTCAGAAGCCTTCCTTACCCTGCTGTGAAGGGTTTCCTTGTTGTTCCTTGGCCCCAAGGGCTGTCCTCCCATGGTTCCTGGGTGTTATATCTGGTCTCCTCTTACTTCCTTTCATCCCTAGGAGCCTTTGTCCCTTTTCTGATCCCTGAATATCTTCCCCATCCTCCCTTGGTCCCTAGCTCTGCACTAATCCTTGGGGTGGCTGGCACCATAGTTGAACATACCCAGGGAGATGTCGCGAGTGTCAGCCAGTCCACCACAGAGGGACAGCGCTATTTTGTCCACGGAATCCAAAGTGGGTTCTTCTATGTGCTCAGGGTTGGGGTTCTCCAGGAGCTTCTGGTGGCTGGGCTCACTCCACCTCCTGACCCCCATCCCACAGTCACTGAAGACAAAGAAACCAGCAATGGTATGAATAAAGAAGATGGAGGTGTCTCCCCTTTCCTCCCAGGATCTTGATAGGAGGCTGATGGCTCCACAGGCCCCCATCCCAAACTCCCTGCCCCCCAGAGCTCAGCACCTTTGGGGGAAATAAAGGGCTGCGTTCTCAGAGTCCAGGGAGGAGAGGTCATCCAGGTAGATGTCACTGGGGCCCAGGTGGTAGTTTCTCTTCAGGGGACCTGAGGGTGAAGGAGGGGACAGCCATCCACTAAACATGGGTTCAATAGCATGAACAACACTTGGCCCTTTGCCTCTGAATGTCCTAAGCTAGTGCTGCCCAACAGAACTCTTCCATGACAGAAAGGGCCATCTCTGTATTGTCCAATATTGTGGCCATTAGCCACATGTGGCTACTAAGCACACACTTCAGACAGACTGGTGTCACAGAGGAGTAGAATTTTAAAGTTTGTTTAATTTTAATAATTTATTTCATTTTTCTTACCTATTAGTATCTTTTTTGTTGTTGTTGTTGTTGTTGTTTTTTGAGACAGGGTTTCTCTGTATTGTTTTGGAGCCTGTCCTAGAACTCACTCGATAGGCCTGGCTTGGTCTCGAACTCACAGAGATCCACCTGCCTCTGCCTCCAGAGTGTTGGGATTAAAGGCATGTGCCACCACCACCCGGCACCTATTAGTATCTTTAAATAAACATTTTTATTTATTTTGTGTGTGAGTGTAGATACATGTGTGTCATGGTACACATGTAGTGGTCACAGGACCACAGTACATGTGTGCAGGTCAGAGGACAACTTGCAGGAGTCAGTTCTCTCTGTCCACCATGTGGGTCCCAAGGATCAGACTCAGGTTGTCAGGCTTGGCAGCAAGCGCTCTACCCACCAAGCAATCTCACTGACCCCATGCATTGTTTCTTTGAGATAGGGTCTCATGTACCCCAGGCAGGCTTTGAACTCACTATGTAGCCAAGGACAACCTTGAATTTCTGGTCTCCTCCCCACCTGTATCTCCCAAATTCTGGGATTAAAAGCTTGTAGCACAAATGCCCTTCCCTGATAACATGATTGACAACTTCCTTGTATGCCACCCTAGAGCCTTCATCCAGTGGCTGATGGAAGCAGAGGCAGACACCCACAGCTAAACACTGAACTGAACTCCTGGAACCCAGTTGCAGAGAGGGAGGACTGATGAGCAAAGGGGTTATGACTTGTCTGGGGAAATCCACAGAAACAACTGACCTGAACAAGGGGGGAGCTCATGGACCCCCGACTGATAGCTGAGAGGCCAGCAAGGGACAGATCTAGACCCCCTGAACATGGATGTCAGTGAGGAGGCCTCAGCATCCTTTGGGGCCTCAGGCAATATATCAGCATTTAGCGCTGTCATCCAGATGGACTTTGGGAGCCCATTCCATGTGGAGGGATGCAGTCTCCACCAGGACACATGGGGGAGGGCCTAGGCCCTGCCCCGGATCATATGACAGACTTTCGAGATTTCCCCATGAAGGATCTCACCTTCCTTGGAGAGTAGTGTGGGGATTAGAGAAGGGGTTAGGGGAGGGTTGGAGGGGGTGGGAGAGGAGGGGAGGGAGAGGGAGCTGGGTTTGACATGTGAAGCAAACTTGTTTCTAATTTAAATTAAATAAAAAAATAAAAAAGCTTGTAGCACTATACACAATGTGTGTGGGGCTGGGGCTCGAACCCTGGCTTCCTACATGTTAGTCAAACACTCCATCAACTGTACACCATCCCCAGCCCTTAGTTATTTAACTTTATTTCGCCTCCTATAAATCAATGGCTACCAACTTGGACAATTCAGTCCAGGGGGGCTTCCTACCACTCTTTGGTAAAGACAGGCTAGGAGCTGAGAATGGTCTAGCCTTGCTTGGCCAGCCTGCCTTCCTACCCTGGCACCAGCCCTCCTCAGCTGTCTTAGGTCCTGGGCCTGAAACATCTCTCCCACCTTGGAGGCCTAACTCATGCAGCTTCTTCTGCCTAGAATTTTCTTTTCATTCCTTCCATGGCTGAGTGTTCGTTTCCCATGTCTCAGTTACAGCTCTCACTATTCAGGGAGAACCTCCATGACCATGTGACTTTACAGTTCCCATCCCTGAGCTAATGGCTCTGTTCTGTGTGGTCTATGTCATTCCCTCCCTTGTTTACACATATTCCATTTGCCTCCTCCATTGGGCTGGGCTCCCATGAACACTGGCTAGGCACAAGGCCTGACATAGCAGCTGCTCAAAAGTCCTACAGTTCACCAGGTGTTGGTGGTATACACCTTTAATCCCAGCACTTGGGAGGCAGAGGCAGGAGGATCTCTGTGAGTTCGAGGCCTGATGGGGAAGTCCATCTGCATATATGTAAATAAAACACTGTTGGCCAATAGGGAAGCAAGATAGATGGGACTAGGAGTCGAGGAGGATTCTGGGAAATGTAGTCAAGAGTGGGGAGTTGCCATATGATCCCGGGTAGAGAGGACACATCAGGATGCCGTCCTTGGAAAGGTAAGTCCCTATAAAAATATGTATTAGTAGTCATAGGTTAATACTTTAGACAGTACTAGCCAATGAGAAGCCCTGAACATTGGCCGACAGCACTGTAACTAATAGAGTCTCCGTGTGTTATTTTGGAGGCTAAAGCAGCGAGAGGACCCAGGCAGGAATCCCGCAACAGAGGCCAACCTGGTCTACAGAGCAAGTGCCAAGATAGGTTCCAAAGCTACACAGAGAAACCCTGTCTCAAAAAACCAAAACAAACAAAAAAGTCCTACAGTCCACTCAGGACATAACCTGAGGCAAGGGATGTGGTAATAGGGACCCAGCCACCACTCACCTTTTCCCTTGGAGCCTTCTGGATGTCCAGAGGGAATGTGGCTCTCCAGAGTGGTCCAGCTCAAGGATTTAGTGGCAGGAGGGTGACCCGCACCCCTGGAATTCTGAGTCTTGGTTTCCTTACTCTCTGGGGCAGCAAGGGGAGAATCCACTAGAGTTTCCTCACAGTGCGTTTCTGCATCGGGATGTGCTGTCTCAGTGCTGGCCCTGGGCGGAAGCACTGGGGGTCTCAAAGTGTCCACACCAGTCACAGAGGAGGAAGACGAAGTGCTAGGTTCCGGTTCTTCAGGAAGAGCAGAGATTGCCTCGGCCATACTGTCAAGGACCTTAGACAACTCAAGCAGCTCAGCTTTCGCCACCTTCGATCAGACAAATACAGGGAGACACAGCCTGGTGAATGGGAGCGCATAAGACTCACATCCCAGCAACTTTAATCCTGACGCAGAGGGCCAGGGAGTTCCTGGAAGGCAAGGACTTGGGACAGCATGGAGGAACTCACCTTAGGCAGTCTCCCCCAGGCCCACTGCATGTGAGACTCAGCTCTCAGGGGACTGGGCTCCAAGGACCGCAGCTCCAGCTCGGAGTCACTCTTGGGGGACATTAGGTCACCTGCTGGAAGGCTGCAAAGAACAAGCATTCAGAGACAACCACTATTCAACCACTCCCCATCCTAGCCCTACATAGAAAAAAATTTTCAACAGGTATTTATGCCTGTATTGAATCCAAAATATTGCAAGAATATATATGTGCATATATGTATGTATATATATTTATGTTACATATATAAAGAACTCCTATAAATCAATAAGAAGGCAATCTAATTTTATTTTTTAAGGCTAGATGTGGTAACACATGCCTGCAATCTTAGCATCATGTTCTGCTACATAAGGAGTTCAAGACCAACCTTGGCTATGTGAGACCCCCCTCAAAAAGTCAAAACAAATAGGATGGCAAGATGTAACTTCTAAAAGATCTATTTATGTGTATGTGTGCACTTGAGTGCAGTGCCTGTGGAGGCCAGAGAGGCCATCAGATCTCCTGGGGCTGGAGTGACAGGCAGTTTTGAACTGCTTAATACTTGTGCTCGGAACTGAACTTGTATCCCCTGGAAGCAAGTGCTCTGAAGTGCAGAGCCATCTCTCCAGCCCCAAAGATGTGACTTCTTAGTGGGTATGGAGTTTCTTTCCAGCATGAAGGAAAGTTCTAGAACTAGAGTGCAGTTCCAGTTGTGAAACACTGTGAACGGACTTCATGCCACTGAATCGTACACTCTGAACTGGTTAAAATGGTAAAGTTCATGTGAAGAATATTTTGCTACAATTTAAAAATTGACTTTGACCCCAAGCACTGCCAAACATAAGCCAAACGTGAATGTTTTACAAAAGAGAAATACAGATGGACCACAAACCCACTGAGTGGATTCTGAGGCATTAGTCAACATAAAGATGTAAGCAGAAACCAGGTTCACGCCCGCCTGCTACCCACTGAACACTTACCTGGCCTGTGGGGTACACTCGCCATCAGAGTAAGGGTAGATGTCCTTAGGCTGCAATGAAGACTCCTCTTCCTCCTGAGCACTGCTTAGAGAGCACAGAGAAATGCTCAGTAACAGGCAAGGGCATGGCAACCTGGCTATCAGGACTTGGGACAGTAAAGCCCAGAGATGCCAAGGCCCTTGTCTAGACTTGCATAGCATTATCAGCGGAAATGCTTCAAGCCAGGCTAGTGTTGCCCACAGCCTCCACCTGGTTCCTACCCACCTTGGGGACTCTGGTGTTGGCTTTTCCTGCAAGGGCAGCTCACTCTCAGCACCGGGCTCCAACTCCTCAGAACTGGAGTCCACAGCATCCTCCCTGCGCCTGGCTTTCCTCCTGCGCCTCCTCTTTCTCCGCCCAGTGATGACAAGGCCCTCAGGCTCACTGGCTGTGCCCAGCTGGGAGTCTGAGGGCAAGCCTGACAGGCCTCCCCATGGGATGGGCGAGGTGCACAGGCGAGGAGGCACGTCCTCCTGGGGGGAGAACCAGAGCTGAAGGTGCTAGAGCCATCAGGTTACCCAGAACCCCACAGCGAGCTCATTTAGGGACAGGCATGGGGCCTGAGCAGAGGTGGTGGCAGCCCAGCTGGCCACAAAACCCCTTTGGGAGGTGGGGCAGCAGTCCAGGCAGCTCTATCAGAACAGGCAGAAGCAGGGGCTTAGTCTCTCCTGCCTCTTGGTAACACCCATTTCTCTTAGCTAGGTGCCACTTCCTCTAGGAAGCTTGCCCAGACTGCAATTCTTTGCATGACTATGAGGCTGCATCATTGGATATTCATGTGCCTGTATTCCAGGCTTGTCTGGAACTCTTTTTTTTTTTTTTTTTAAGATTTATTTATAGTGTTCTGCCTGCATGTATGACTATATGACAGAAGAGGGCACCAGATCTCAGCACAGATGGTTGTGAGCCACCATGTGGTTGCTGGGAATTGAACTCAGGACCTCTAAGAAGAGCCTGGCCAGTGCTCTTAACCTCTGAGCCATCTCTCCAGTCCTTGGCTGGAACTCTTTTTGAAGGTAAAGGAGTCACTTGTTTGAGTTTGCTGCATAGTGTCTGATATACAGCAGGGGCTCAGGTAAAGCCTATCACATTCAAACAGTTAAAGCTCTGTTGGCTTGGGCTAGGCCCGGCCTCCATTCTGCGAACACTCCTCTTTTCACCCACTCCGCCCCCAGTGCTGTGTTCTGGCTGTATGGTACCAACACAGACTGGAACAGCCAGGCTTTATTCTTTGCAGTCTCCTCGCCCTCATCTTTTCTGAGATTCCCAGTCAGGCCAACTTTCCACTCCCCCAGGGAACCAGAGGGCTCCTGCTTCAAAACCTTCCCCAGGAAGTAGAATCAACCAGAGTAGGTCCCCTTTTCTGGGCTGTGACAGATCATGAAGCCAGCCTCAAGTGACCCCGTGTATCAGTTCTCTGCTGAAGAGATATCCCTGAGGTCAGGGACAGTGACAGACGCCAGGTTCCCTCCTGGGACAGCACCAGGGAAGGGGTGAAGTCTGGCACAAGCCAAGGCGTTGATCCAAACCTCATCACTGTCCAGCTCCTGGACGAAGAAGGCTTCGCCACTGTCCCCCAGCTTCATGTGCAGGTCCACGGGCTCTCCATTGATTTCAATGTCCACCTGCAATGGAAATGATGGGTGGGGACTGAGTGACCATAGCCGTGGTCCTCATGTCCTGATCCAGCAACTGGAGACACACTCCTGCCTGCATCCAGCTCTGAGCTGGCTGGAGCTCTCTTCAGAAGTCTGTGGTGCTGGCTGCTTGCTTACCACCCGGTCACCAGGAGAGCACTGCTGTGACCTCATTCCCTACTTCCTCCCAGCTCCCAGGTGTTGACTATATGAATAATGGTTAGAATTACCCCTTACAGTGGAGTGTTTTATATAGAAATTCCTGTTTAACTTTACAAGAACCTTTGTAGTAGCTCCTATCATTATGTCCATTTTATAGATAAGGAAACTGGTGTGTGTGTGTGTGTGTGTGTGTGTGTGTGTGTGTATTGGGGGGTAGGCTATTTGTAAGGACCTGCCCTCCCACCAAGAGTCTATGAAACTCAAAAGGTCTTCAACTACACCCCAATCTCCTTGCTGTGTTCTGTGTGTGTCTGTGTGTGGTGTCATATGCGCATGTACATATTTGTGTGAGTGCCTGCATGTGTGGGTGCCTGAGGCCAATCTCAGGTGTCTACACTCAGTTACACTTATTTTTTAAGACAAGGTCTCCCACTAATTGGTGAGGCTGGCAGGCTAGCAAGCCCCAGAGATCTACCTGCCTCTTCCTCTCCGGTGCTAGCATTACAGACATCTTCTGCACCTTGCTGTTTATGTGGGAAAAGTTTGCTGGGAACCTCAGCTCAGGGCATGGCAAGGCCCTTACTAATTCAGCCATGGGCCCAGCCCTTCAGCCTGGCCTCTTATCTCCAAGGTACACTGTCTTTCATAGATTATACTTTCCTATTAAGGTTCTGAAAAATCCAGTCACCTCAACTTGAATGGGGTTTGGGCCTATTACAGTGCTGCTCACACATGGACCCAGGTGCTAAATGACGTCTGTCATGAACCTGAGAAAGCTGATGTGGCTCTCCTAAGGGACTAACCTTTGTCCCCACAGAGTTGGCCTCAAGGCCACATTATCTGTTCCTGTTTACTGTCCCAAACTATTCTATTGCTAGCACCAGGCATATAAAAACTTGTCCATTCCTAAAGGTAATGTGACTGGGTTTGAAGATGTGAGGTGATTAGGGAGGCCACAGAGGAGGTCTTAGTAAGTTGAGCCAGGCCAGGTAGCCACCTGGTTCTACTCCACTGGGCTTCCTACCTGGGCAAATGAGAATCTTCTAGATCAAGGCCCTAAACCAAGCCAAAAACATCAGTGAGGGCCAGTGAGGTGGCACAGCAGAAATCAGCACTTGCTACCAAGACTGACGACCTGAGTTCAATCCCCGGAACCCACATTGTGGAAGGAAAGAACTGACTCCCAACATTGGATACACACACACTCACACACACACACACACACAGATGTATGTATACAATCAGGTATATATATATATATATATATATATATATACACACATATATATACACATATAAAATAAATACAGTAAAATAAATTTTAAAAGAAAATTCAATGAAAATACAAAGGAAGGGAAATGGGATAGGCACACCCCACCTCCACCACTTACAGAAGCCAAGTTTTTTCTGGGACAGCAGTGATTATGCAGCCTTCAAAAGCCCACCCTGCTGAAGCCAGACCACGGGCGGAAGCACTCACCACCTTCTCCCGGGACCGCAGGACACCCAGCTTGCCGAACCGTACATGGAAGGGTGAGCAGCGGAAGGAGCCATCTGTCTGCTTCACCACCAGCACGTCGATGCCGCCACTCAACGTGGCGGGGTTTAGGCCCCTGTATAGTTCCTTAACTGTTCCAAACACCGTCTCTGCCAACTGCCCCACGTAGTTCATGGCTGCTGCTGGCCAACAGCTGCGATGCCCAAGCTTAAGTGGTGTCTAGCCCTTGAAGACAGAATGTGTCTGTACAGCGGCAGCAGCTGTGGGATGGGACGATCTCCAGAAGACCTAGGTCTACTAGCCGAGGCTGGCCCACCGACCTACTGTGGGGCTCTTGGGCAGCCTGCTGTCTCCTACTGCCAGTCTCTACATCTGTAAAAATAAGGACTCAGGGTGAGACGATAGCTGGGTGCCCGTGCCTCTAAATGCTATGACTCATGGTAATGCCTGAGCACTCCGTGGGCACGGCTCATCTCATCTTCACAACAGCCCTGCAAGGCTGGCAGAGCAGGGTTATTGTTCCTGTTTGTAAACCAGCAGAAGCTTGGAGAGGTGGGGTGACTCGCCCAGGGTCTCACACCTGTAAGGAGAGAACCTGAGGGTCAAGTCCAGGTCTGTGGGACTCATGTCCAGAACCCTTGGCAGAAACAAATAGAAAGAGTCACCATGGAAACAGGACATTGTGGGCAGTGGGGAGAGCCTCCAGATAGAGCTAGCCTTGTTAGGTAATAGATGGTATCCTAAAGGAAGTCTTCCATTTGAGAAATGGTTCTAGACAGCTTGCTGCTTCCTGGTCCTAGAAACTGCATACACACTCCAGACACATAAACCTCTACTGAGCCCTATTACTAGTCCAGACACTAAATAAGGCCTCTGTAGCTTAAGGAAGCACTCCAACCTGCACCCCCACCCCATTTTCTCCTGGTAATATGTCCATCTGAGGCCCACGGCCACATTTCATGGTCTCCAGGCCATTGTCCTTAGTCCCTAGCTTCAGACTATAACTCAGATGCACATTCGGGCCAATGTTGTTGTTCATCCTAGCCAGACTGGTCCCTCCAGCTTTCCTGCATCAGGCAGGGTGGGGAGAAGTGAAGGCAGGAGGCTTCCGTGGCAGCAAAGAAAAGCCAGGGCTATAATGAGAGTCAACCAAGCTGACATAGTGTCCCCTCGCCCTATGCCACCCTCTCCAGATTCAGCCCATTATACCTGCTATGCTTCCAGATAAGTGACCTACTGCTCCTCTGGCTGCCAGAACTGAGAACTGGACCCAAGACACTGCCACATGTCACCCTTCTCTCTCAGATCTTACACAACAATACCTGGAGGACAAGGGTTCAGGATCACCCTTCAAAGAAGCAGAGCCACTTACCAAAGCTGTGTGGGCCTAATAGAGCATATACAGGGGCAGGGGAGCAGGAAAGAGGCTGACTCAGGTCTCTTGACGCCTTAATTAGTCCATAGTCCCCAAACCACACCACAGCTGTCTGCAGAGAGTGCAGCCACCTCTGCATAGCTTTGTGATGGACTGGGCTTGGAATGTGGTCCATGAATTGGCAGCGTAAGTGTCACTGGGGAGCTTTGTTAGAAATGTGGAAATTTAGGTCTAACAGCCTTCATGGGTCCACATGTACATCAGAACAACCTCCCCCGTGGTGCTTGCATCCTTTTGAGTGTTGAGAAGAGTCATCTCAGTGTTCTCAGGCCATAGCTGGATTTTTGGCGAAGTCTAAATGACGGATCCCAGTGGGTAACATTTTTGGAGGAATGTTGCTATCCCAGACAGAGCACAGGCTTTCCTCTCTCTGTGTCAACCAGGTGGTGCACTTCAGAGGATGGAAATGGAGAATCAGAAAGATGAACTGACCTGCCCAGAGTCACAACTAGTCACTGGCAGAGTGGAGATTAGCACCCAGGCAGTTTGGTACCCTTACCCACAATGCCCTGTGACCATTCATGATCTGGGCATCTGATAATAAAGCTTTGGCCTAGACAGCATGAAGCTAAGTAAAAAATAGGGTGAAATTAAACTCCCTAATGCCACTCAAATCCAACAACAGCTTTGTTGGCAAATACCTAATGATTGGCCCCTGGGTGGAAAGCTTCATTCTGTTCAGTGACTACAGATCTAAGGAGACAGACTGGCAGGACAGGTATCTGTTTGTTGAGCAGGTCACTAGACCAGTGAGTCCAGGAAAAGCAGACAAGACCCAGGAGTTTCCAAGAATAAAGGGGTGAGTATGGGAAGCCCTGGGTAGGGTGGCAGGCTTGGTTTACTCTGTGTGTGTGTGTAGCGTGCGCGCTGTAGAACAGGGTACACTGTAAGACTGTATCTCTGGTCTCTGACCATTAGATACCAGTACCCCCCCCCCAGTTCCCATCCAAGGTTGTGACAGCCAAATTGTCTCCTGATATTAAATGCCTCTAAGGGGCACTAGAGGCCAGGTGTCTCCTTGGAGGAAGAGCTGTATGGCAGAGATGAGTACATGGGAGGCGGTGTCACTAGAGTTACTCAGATCTGTACATAAGGCAAGCAGCTTGCTGGCCTCAGTTTCCCTTGTACAATATAGGCCTTAATTTAGAGCCATCTTACTCACATGTCAAAGGAGTCTAGAATCCCATTTGCTTAGACTTTTGAGTACCTCTAACTAAAATCCAAGTGGTCTCCCCCCACACCTACATTCACCCCTAGGAGAACCTTCTTTTCTGCCTTTTTCAAGCTGGGAGCTCTGCTTGCTGCCGTATATAGTTGTCCCTTCCCTGACTTTCCTGCTGTCTATGGTTAAGACTTTGTTACCAGACACGCGGCTCTCTGATGGCAACAGAGCACTGTGGATGAGAACACCACAGTGCCTGAGTTCTAATCTGTACACTTACTAGCTGTGGCTTTGGGCAAATCATTTGGTTTATCTGGGTGTCGATTTCAGCTTCTTTAAGTGGGGATAATATCAGGTAGGTATGAATACCTGATAATTGCATACAGCGTTGTACAATATGTGTTGTGCCCATGTGTGCCATCTGGCAGAAACACCAGCATCTTTTTAAGCATCATGGCAGTCCCACTCACCCAGGTTGTGGGCAGTCCAGTAGGGCAGCCCCTACTTGCAGTTAACAGTTTAGACACAGTAAGCTGGCACTCAACATCCGGAACAGTGGGGACCTTACTAGTTACAAGATGGACAGGTGAACTCCAGGCCTTGTGGCACCTTGCTCAATTCAGGCTAGAAATATCCACAAGGTTCCAGACCAATCTACCTCTACCATAGGGAAGCCAGGACCAGTTGCCCTGGACCTGAGATCTCTGCCCTCATGATGCGGGAATGACTTTGCATCTGCCACCAAAGAGAGTAGGAGTATAAATCTTTCTTTGTTTTGTTTTTGTTTTTCGAGACAGGGTTTCTTTGTGTAGCCCTGACTAGCCTGGAACTCACAGAGAGTCACCTGCCTCTGCCTTCCGAGTGCTGGGATTAAGGGCACGCACCACCAACACCTGGCAGATGATTACTTTGTTTATAGCAGTGCTGGGGTTGAAACCTAGGGTCCCTCCTATCCCAGAGAAGTTCTCTACCACTAAACTGCAATTCCCCACATAGGGTAGCAACTTCTGTTGCCCCAGAGAGGGAAAGTGCCTCCTAGCCCTCAGTCTAGGGTAGCCTCCATAAAGCGTTCCAGCATTTCATCTCCAGCTCCCTCGTCTCGACTACTCAGGGAGCTCGCAGCCGCTGGGAGGAAGTGAGGCCATCGTCCCTCCGCCTACGCTTTCCCCGAGCTCCAGGTGAACGGACTCTGGCCCTAGAACGTAAATGAAGCGAGATAGAAGAACAGGGTGGGAGAGAAATTTTTTCCCTGGTTTAGGCAGCTTCCTACCTAGGAATCCCCTTCCTCCCCTAGAGGTCCGGGACCCAGAGTCGTTGCCTCTACCTGTACGCAGAGACTCCACAGGTAAGTACTTAGGTCCCGGCACTTCCGCCTTCTCTGGGACCCGGTGAGATCCGGGCTCCACTCCTTCCAACAACCAAGTGCGGCCTTCCCTGTCCCCCGGTCCTGGCTCCACCCCTCACATCGGAAGAGACCCCGCCCCTGTCCCATGTTCACACCCAAGGGCGACCTTTCTCTCAGGGAGACTGGGGAGCCCCGGGCTTCAGGACTCTGATCCGTGCCCAGCCTGGCCGCCAGCTGGAACCACAGGAACACCGGAGACGCAAGGACTTTGGAACCTGTTCCTTTCCTCCTGGATACGTGACCTTGGGTGTATCTTCTACCGAATTGAAGGCGGTTCTCGCTTTATAATCAAAAAGAGGGAAGCTGCTTGTAGGATTTGCCAGAGTAAGTGAAATGTCTTTGTGAGGTGCTTGGTGCTCGGATTTCCCATCCTGAAGCAGCGTTCCTTGGCCCTCCACGCCGCATTCTAGCTGAGATCCAACTGCCCATGTGCTCACAGTTGTAACTTCTTATTTGCTCGATGAAAGTCAACCTTGTTTTGTTTTTGCAGCGCTGATATCAAACCCAGGGCTACCACCGCTACACCAAACAGCTCTGAATGACCTCTTCAATTGAAGTTGAACTCTTTGTGGACAGATCACCTTCTCGAGCTCAGGGCCATTGCAATAAATGCCTGCTCCGTCATCCATCAGACACGTCAGTGGAAGGGCAATGCACTCAATACCACCACGGTCCAGCAGAGGGCAGATGGTGACCAGCCTTCTCACCCAGTCATGCTTTCTCGCCATCCAAAAGTCTCAAAAGCAGAGCAGATGTGCAGATGTGTAGGCTATAAATGCATGGAGTGGCTATTCCCTTTGAAGCAGTGTTTGTTCATTGCCTTTCCTGACTCAAAGACCTCTGTGACTACCTGTAAGTATGTATAGTCAGTCCCTGCCAAGAAGATGTGCCGGAAAAGATCAAAAGCTGATGGCATTAGTTCTGAAAAGCACATGCAACCTTTGCTTAAAAGATGGCTCAGTCAACCCAGCCTAGTGGTACAAGCCTTTATCTCAGCACTGGGAGGCAGAGACAGGTGGATCCCTGAGTTGAAGGACAGCCTGGTCTATAGAGCGAGTTCCAAGACAGCAAGGGCTGTACAGAGATACCCTGTCTCCAGAAACCAAAACAAAACAGACTTTAAAAAAAAGTCTCAGCCAGTAAAGGCACTTGCCTTGGAGTTGGATAACTGTAATCCACATTTACAAGGTGTCCCAGGCCGGCTGTGAAGCCGGTGCACACTTTGTGCACACATTTTAAGTCAGTGGTTCTCAACTTTTCTAATGTCATGACTCTTTAATGCGGTTCCTTATGTTGTGGTGATCTCCAACCATGAAATTATTGTTGCTGATTCCTAACTATACTTTTTCGGCTGTTATGAATTGTAATGTAATATATGATATGCAGGATATCTGATATGCAACCCTGTGAAAGGGTTATTTGACCCCCAAAAGGGTTGCAACCCACAATTTCAAGAAATGCTGCTCTAAGTACATGTTTTGTGCTATTATTTATTTGAAGGTAAAGGCATAAAAGGCAGGCTTACAGGGGTGGCAGTGGGGCACTGGGAAAAGCCAGCTGTCGGAAGGTCTGGGAGGTGAGAAGCTGTTGCCATGATGGGATCCAAGGTGGCAGAGCTTGTTTAGAAATGACTGGCTTTGGTTGTCCATCCTGCAGGGTCTGATTGCTATCTTAGAGGAGCCCTGCTGAAAGCAGATTAATCTCAGTGTGATGGGGGGGGAGTGTAGGGAGGGTTGTGACATGCCACAAGATTGTCTGTGGCAGCTATATGGAATGACTGCACTTGATGGTAAAACCCTGGGAAACAGAAACTTCTCAAAGAAGTCTGAGACAGAAGGGTCACAGACCAGGACGGACCTGGACATCTGATGCTGGAATTAATCTTTTTAAAGATGGGGGTCTCCATGGAGCAGATGGGAGGAGGAGGAGAGGGGGAGTGGGTGGAGAGGAGGGAGGGGGTGTTGGGCCCCAGCCCCAAAGGGCCTCTGTGAGTTGCAGTCAGCCTACAAGTGCAACCTGTTTTCCAGTCCAAGTGCTTCCTGTTTTCTAGTCCTGGCTTACTGTCCGGGCCTTGACCCTCTGACATCAACATCTAGCAGGAGGAAAACATGCTCTCTTCCACCTGGGGTTTTTCCACTGCGCTGTAAACCTTTATATAAGGCTGCTCCCTCTCTACAAGAAAGAAGAGACCTCTTAGCACTTGGAATAAAGACTCTCTTTCTCTCTCTCTCTCTCTCTCTCTCTCTCTCTCTCTCTCTCTCTCTCTCTCTCTCAGCAATAGAGGCAGCATGCACAAACAGCTGGACGTCTTGTCTTTCTTTTCCTGATAACTTGGACTTGCTTGTGGCGTGGGCGCCACAATTGGAGGTCCCACAGAGAGCCAGAGAGATTTGGAAAGACCGGGATAGATCAGCCAGAAAGAAGACTCAGAAGAGGAGAGACTTGAGAAAGAAAAGATTTGAAAACAGGTGGTACCTCGACTTCTAACAGTAAAATTGAATGGTTAAATCTCCAGGCTTTTGCCTAAGAGATCACCTTCTAAGGAGAAGGTGTATTGAATTAATCTCCAGCCTTCTCCAGATCCACTGAGGTCAGGAAAGTAAAGGGGGAACTGAGAGATTGCCCTCAAAGGCTGGCCAGCAAGTAAGGCTATGAGGATGTACTGAAAAGGGGTACCAAGTTAGGGGTACCAGGTTAAATCTCCAGGCCTTAGCCCGACACCAAGGTCGGGAAAGAAAGGGGGAACCTGAGAGATCGCCCTCAGTTGGAGGGTGGATTGAGTAAATCTTAAGGCTTTTGCCTGAAGGATCATTCTCGGTTGGAGGATGGATTGAAATTGGGTGAATTGAAAATGGGTAACAGTAAACAAAGTACTGGTATTAAGTGAAAGAAAAGGAAAAGATAAAGTATATGCAATGGAAAATACACGGAGAGTCTGGATACTGTGTGCTATTGTGTTGTCTTTGAATTGTTTAATTGCTAAGGAAGGAACAACAACTGCTAAACGACATTTGATTATCAATGCTTCTGAATTAATCCAACTTATATATTTTGAAAATGCTTTGACTTCTAAATTTAAATATAAGGACAGGTTACTTGGGAAAAGAATTTTTGCTTTTGTTTCCACAGAAAATAAAAAGCTGAGGGTTCGGTTCCTTCCAGACTAGTATGGTTGGATGAAGCAAGACCACCTGAAGCAGTGGCCCAGGTGATCCAACAGCTAAAACAGCTGAGATGATGCAGCCTTGCAGACCACAAAAACAAGGACTTCAATAGGTTTTCTGTTTTTTTGGTCATGATCCCCATGTTATTTCAGTGCCCCCTAACAGCAGGGAGTAGTTTGGAAAGAAGGATGCCCACATTTCCAAATATTGTTTATGTTTGTTTTCATTTATACAGGGTTGGTTATTGATACAAATTTAAGGTCAATTTTGTGAGTCATCTCTAAAAACTTTTGGCCAAAAGCCTGGCCTCTCCACCCTGCATCTACAGAATTACAAGGAGTAGGTATTGCTGTAGCCCCTGAGTATAGCTCAGAACTTCTCAAATGGAGGGATAATGAGGGGCACACAGGACTTTTTCAACCTTTGATTTTAATTCAAGGATTGTGAATGCATGAGTGTGAACTGCTTAAATTGCCTTGGATATGATTAAAAGGATTTTTAACTTGCTTCAGATATAGTTAAGAAGTTATCTAAGTTATCTAAGTTGCTTTGGATATAGCCAAAAAGATCATCCAGCCAGTCAATGTCTTAACAGGAAAGGTTGATGATTTGAGTCCTCAGTCAGTGGAAAAATAACAAAAGCTTACAACATGGTCCGAGAGCCAAAGAAATCTTTATAAAAGATTCTATAGAGTAGCAAACAGTTCAAACAAAATTTCAAAAAATAAAAAGGGGGAATAATGCCCCCAGCTCCCCACATGATTCATTAAATCAAGCACTCCTTATTTTAATTTTTTAAATGTGGATGTCAGTGAGCAATCTGCTGCAGACAGATTCTGGCGTGATGGAACTTGAGTGACTTTTGATCAGATCAAACGGAGATATCCATACACTAGACAGTGGAGAAGATCCAATTCTGCCCTAATTTGGGGTCGAAGGCGTGTTTGTGTTTTCTTTCAGGAAAAGAATAAAGCTCGGCGACTGCCAGAACATTTAGTGAGATGCATGCAGCAGAGAAAAACTGGACCTGAGACCATGGGAGCCTGCCTAAGCCAGTTGAGTGAGATCTCCTAAACCAGTGTTCCTGACCCTTGATGTCATCGAATTTACAGCCCGGAAAAGAAAGAAAACAGTCCGAGATTTCCAGTTTCTCGACAGGCCTGCTACATCAACTTCTTGGATCCATGAGTTTTCACCCCAGAGCTGACAAAGAACTGGATAACTAGAAGTTTGCCCTTGACAAACCTTGAAACAACAGAATTCATTTTGCCAATTTTTCCCTTTGGGGAAAAAAGGACCCATTAAAACAACTGAACGCTGGTATGGACTGTGATGAGTGGCAAAAGCCCCTTTTCGGTATTTGAACAGGACACGGCCACTTGAAATATCAGCCTTGGTGGTTCCTGTTCCTGGAATCGCCCCTATGCCAGTGTATTTTTCTGGAGAAATGCAGCTTGCCCTAATGCAGCAAAA